ATCCTCTGTGGCTATGTCACTGACTCTGGGCCCAAGAGTCCCGAGGTCTTGCCACACTGCTGGCCAGCCAGGTCTCCACCCAGGTTCACAGGAATCGATTGAGTGTTGTAGGGCTTAGCTCACAGCTTCAGTGTTATTTTTCCCTCACTTCCCCTTAAGGTGACAAACGTGGTCACCAATCAGAGCGTGTATTCCCATTGAGTCTTAGTCTTGGAAGGGGGTTTGCTTTGAGGGGACCTGACCATTTACCTTGATGTCTCCTGTGAAGCTCTTTTTATTATTGATGTTAAAACTGAGCTTTGAAGTCTGAAAGTTCCCAAGAAACAGATTAGTAGAGTTATTCACCTTTTAGATGTTTCCCTCTAAATGGGAACAAATTGATATATGTCAAAAGGGGGGAAATGATCTTTTTGCTTAAAAAACATACTGGAAAGTACAAACTATTATTTGTATTTGATGATTAGAAAGAAAGTGAGAAAAACAAAATGACTGAAATTGGCTTTAGAACGCCCAGAGATCATGCTGTAGGAATCAGGAATGCTGTAGGAAGCAGGAATCCCTCATGCAGCATCCTGAGAAATCACCATTGTTTGGTTATAATTGCTGCCTCCTGAATCACTAAGGAGTCTTTCTCCATCATTTCACTGAATTATGTTTTGTTATATCCAAATTAATATTGTACTTATGTATCAAGTGTGACGTGTCAAAATGGAAAGCTTTATTTCTTTGGGAAAAAGTAAGTTTTGAAAAAGTTATTCAATGTATCTAATAATGAAATGGGGAAATCATTTAATGTTATAAAACTTTATATAGAACATTGAAATGGAGAAAAGATATATTGTTTATATAAAAAAAATTCTTTATATAGATTAACTGATTAATACTCCCTGTGATAAGAAGTGCTATATTAAATATAAGCCCATTATGTTAGAAGTTTTTAAAAAAATAAAAGATGCATTGATAATAACTGGTGATTTGAATGCAAAAGTTAGAAACAAAGAGGAAGGATCCATAGTTGGAAAAGATGACCTTGGTGATAGAAACAATACTGGAATCACATGATAGAATTTTGCAAGACCCGTGACTTATTCTGCCTCCCATTCCTCCTAGGTCTGCCTTAGTCTAGCAGTCTGCTAAAATCTGTCCACTGTGGGTGACCCTGCTGATAGCATAGCTTCCAGCATCACAGCAACACACAGGTCACCACGGTATGACAGACAGACAAATGGTATCAAACATTACTATAATATTTCATTGCTTCTGTAAAACTATACAGTAAATTGTGATTAAACTTTTGTGATCCATTCACAATTCTGTTAACCCATAAATACAACAGTGATATCATTTCCTAAATTAAGTTTCTCCTAATTAAGCATACGCTTAGTCATACGTTTCCTGTGTGTGTCCGTATCTTGCAAACTTAAAAAATTTTGTCTTTTGGTAAGCCATTTTTGTTCTTACTAACTCAGTTTAATAAAGTGCTAGTATTGATTTCCATTGAAAATACCCAAGAGTCCATTTATGCCATAAATTTTAACCTCTCCTAACTTTTTAACTTCTCTGATTTAACTCAGGATGTGGTTTCTGACACGAATCATCACTTTCTTATACTCTTCCCTTTTCTGTCACTTTTATCACTGGCCCTAGGAATTGGCACTTTTTTTATAAGGAAGGAGAGGCATATTTCATGGAGAAACCATGTTACATCACTTAAGTATTCCTAACTGAACCGACTCAGTGACACTTAACACCAATTGTGCATGAGAACACAGAAACTAAATCAGAAATGTCTTCCTCCTCCCAACTGGCAACATACAAGGCTGACTGGCATTGTCAGAGAAATCAGCAGCATGTTCTAGACCCTCTATGACTGTTTCTGAGCAATAAGAGCCAGAGTGTTTATGCAGTCCTTAACTCTCCAAAGGCACTGTTGTATTCTGCTGGTAGCTGGAGCACTAAGTATCTACATACATTCACTGCAGGAACCTAAACTTCCTCCTGAGGGAGGGGTGGGGAGCCTTTAAAGACTCAGACTGGAAGAAAAAAAAAAAGGACTCAGACTGAGAGAAGTATAGGTCCTCAGGGTTTAGGAGAAGCTGGCAGCCATATAGAGTCAGGATTGGAAAATGGGAGCTCATTTTGCTCTTACATCTGGGTAAGCAAAGCAGGGCAGAAGGGATGGCAAGGAGGAGGGGCCTGATTTCTAGGACCAAGAAGTCTTTGTTGGCTGTGATTGCTGACAGTGGAGCTGAGCAGATTTAGAGTCTTCCTAATTTCACTGGTAAAATGACTAGTAGAGAGGAGTAGGCTGAGAGGTCAGGAATGTATGTGGAGATTCAGTGGATATGGTCCAAAGGTCTTGGAATTGCAGATAAGTCTCTGCATTAGAGATTGACAAACTCCAGGCAAAGAACCGGAAAGGAGAATCAAACAATATTATGTAGATACTTACATAACAAGTTGAAATCAAATCATCAGCATATTTTAACAAGGGAGTCCCCAGGTAGCACAAATGGTTATATGCTCAACTGCAGGGATATGTTGGCAGCTTGAGTCCATCCAGAAGCACCTTGGAAGAAAAGCCTGGTGCTATCCTTTCCCATAAAATCAGCCATTGAAAACCCTCTAGAACACAGTTCTGCTCAACACACATAAGGTCATCATGAATTAGAACTGATTCAGGTATATTTCCACAAAATTTTAGTAACTTAAAAATATAATAATTAAGTTTTTTTGTTTTTTGTGGGTTTTTTTGAGAGGAATGAAATCATGAATTGAGGGTCAGAGTTCGTGTTCCCTGTCATCCACACCCACTGCTATCAAGTCGATTCTGACTCATAGTGATCTTATAAGACAGAATAGAACTGTTCTTTATAGTTTCTGAAACTGTAAATCTTTACAGGAACAGATAGCCTCATCTTCTTCCCAAGGAGCAACTGGTGGATTTCAACCACCAACCTTGTTAGGAACCCAATATTTAGCCCACTGTGCCACTAGTGCTCCCTGTCATATAAGCAGTTATACCTTCAAAGCAATACAAGAACAGGCTGTATACTGCATTTGGCCTTGAGTCATGGTTTGCTGTATAAAGTACCCATTTAGTCATTGCATAGACTTTTTTTCTGTCTGGCCTTGGACTGTTCACAAGACTGTCTAGTCAGATGCTAAGCTTTTCCTGTACTGGTCAAGGAGTTCCTGTTGAAATACCTCCAGTTTTGACTAGAAGCAGCTTAGTGCAGGGAAGGCATTCGATGTCCTGCCACAAGCATAGGGTAAAAAGCATTGAGAGAGGTCACTTTCTCATATTTTTCATTTTCTCTTAACTTTTCTCCCAAGGTTGAAAGAAGTCTTAACAACAAGTAAAGAACAGGAGTCAAAATACCAGGCCAGCCACCCAAACCTCAGAAAGCTGGACAATCCAGGTTAGTGGACACATGCGCTCACAGCGCCTGTGGACTCTGCGAAGTTGGTGGGGTCACCGAGTGAGGTGATGGGCCCTAGATGCCTTCACAAATGGACTTTCTGCTGTGGTAGTTGGTTAGACCCATCAATCACCACCTAAATTGTGTAGCTACATCCATAGAGAGAAATCTAGGACACATGTCATAGTTTAGACAACAGAAATTTTCACATCTTTAAAGTTTTGTTTTCATTTGGCGCAGTTCATTTTTAGTCCATCTCTTTCCTCTCACATTTTACTATAAATGGCAAAGAGAAAGCAAATGACTTCTTTAAGAAATCTCCTCAGCCAAACATTCATGTTCATTGCTTTCAAGTTCTACCTTCCATCAAACATTTAAATGTAGTTCAGAGCTCTTCACCACTGCATAAAAAGTATTGCCCTTCCTCCATTGCCCATCAGAAGCACTTTCGATGTCCTTGTTTCTAGCCACATTCTGTTGCTGGTGTCATATGTATTCTCTGAGGTGATAGAGACTTTCTTTGTAGTTCTCTTCAGTTTCTTCTTAGAATTGCCTTTAGCATCCATAATTCTACCAATACTCTCTTCGAGGCAATCTAAGCTTTTATTATTGTTATTATTAAATACAGTTCTGACTCATAGTGACCCTGTATAGGGTTTCTGTGGAGCAGCTTTTGGGTTTGAACCACTGACCTGGTAGTTAAAATCCAGTGCTTATCCTAAATCCACTTCCACATTTTACGTATTTATTAGAGCAGCATTCCACTCTCCAGTAGCGCTGCTATGACAGTAATAACACAAATGGATGAGTTTAACAAATTTATTTTCTCATAGTTTTGTTGTTAGGTGCCATCGAGTCAGTACCGACTCATAGTACAACAGAACAGAACACTGCCTGATCCTGTGTAAAGTACCCATTTAGTCATTGTATAGACTTTTTTTCTGTCTGGCCTTGGACTGTTCACAAGACTATCTAGTCAGATGCTAAGCTTCCTGTACTGGTAAATGAGCTCCCAGGAGTCCCTGTAGAAATAGGACATCAATGGGCTCAAGTGTGGCAACCTCACAGTTGTTGCCATGCTTGAGCCCATTGATGCTGCCACTGTACCAGTCCATCTCGCTGGGAGTCTTCCTCTTTTCTCATAGTTTTGTTGTTGTTGTTGTTGCTAAGTGCTGGCAAGTCCATTACGATACATAGTGACCCTGTATAGGGTTTTCGAGGAGCAGCTTGGTGAGCTTGAGCTTGACCTTGCAGTTCAAACAGCTTTGCATTCTGGCGCATTAACCCACAGCACCACACCAGGACTCCTCATAGTTTGTTGTTGCTGTTGTTAAGTGCCATGGAGTCGGTAGAGTCGGTTCCGACCCATAGCATTCGGCTAGAAATTCAAATTCATGGCACTGGCTCTGAAGAAAGGCTTTCTCTCTGTGTTGACTCTTAGAAGTTCTTTTCTCTTCAGCTCTATTCCTTGGCTTCTTTGTCATCTTCATGTGGGTGGCCTCTATCCTCCCCCATCTGCTTTGCTCATTTGCTTCTTTAACATCTTTTACATTCCAAAAGAGAATTAATTTAAGACACACCCTACACTAATAGCAAAGACAACCCATTCACAAATAGGATTATAACCACAAGTACAGGAGTTAAGATTTACAATATATGTTCTTTGGAGCATAATTCAACCTGTAACACTTGGAAAGGAAGTTAGCCCTCCTGAAGTTAGTGCTTCTTTGGCTTCTAGAAAGCTTATATAACTTTAACTGTGAACAAATTAGAGGCTCACATGCTACCTTCAAGGACACACCCTTTAAGAGCTGGAACTCACATTTGTCCACCTAAAGAGAAACCTAATAGAAGAGCTGGGGGTCAGCAAAAACTGAGATTGAGTTCCGGTTAGAAAACAAGTGAAAAAGTAAAATAGTTCATGGTTTGGAAAAACCTGCAAGAATTACATCAATGCCTTGCACCTTATTTGTTGTTGTTAAGTGCCATCAAGTTCCTTCTGACTCCTAGCAACCCTGTATAGGGTTTCTGAGGAGAACTGGTAGGTTTGAACCACTGACCTTTTTGGTTAGCAGTCCAGGACTCCCATTCACCTTGACAGACGTGATTTTTCCTAATAGACAGCAAACAGGTTATCCAAATACTAAATAAATACACCTAACTATAACTCTAAAAAAAGTGACTTTAGGGAATTCCAGGAAGCTTTCATTGGTATGCTGTAAAATAACTGGAGTCCCCGGGTAGTGCAAATGTTTGGCTACTCAGCTGCTAAATGACAGGTTGACAAATTAATTCACCCAGAGGATACCAGTGTACTTCTCAAAACTCAGTATTGCGAGGGAACAAACAAGATGGCGGATCGGGTGGATGTATAGCAGAGAGCTCCGCCAACAACA